GGGGGCCCCGCCGCGGCCGCTATTTGTATCCTGCTGACATCCCCCGCCCCTCCTGCTGCCGGGCAGCCGGGGGATGCTGCTGCGGGGGGGTGGAACGGCCGCCAGCCCCCGCCCACCACCCCTCACCTGCTTGCAACACTGGGCTGCAGACCCCCGGGCGGGTGACAATGATGCCCATGGAACCCCAGGGTCCCTCAGACCCCACTGGTTTGTCAGCCTCCCCACTTGGCCCCGCACTGTGCTGTCCTAGCCCTGGAGGTGCAAGGGAAGGAAAAGGGGCAAGCTGCTGGTAAGCCCCCCCAGCACTGCACTGTTGCCCATTGGGGTACAGTACCACCCCCAAGGGCCTGGACAGACAGAGAGACAGCCTGGGCTGATGCTGGGGGGACAGATGGGGACTTAGCCCTCGCTTTCCCCTCCTTGAGCCTGACTCCATGCCTGGTGGCCACAGTCCCCAAATTGGCTTTGAGAACCATAAAACCCCACTGATGGTGCCTAGATCTGATCCCCAGCAAAAGCACCAGGCTCAGCTCTGCATGTGGGGTCAGACTCCAGCTTTCCCCCCCAGACTTGGCACAAGGGAGAAGCCTAGGTAGAGGGTGATGTGGGGGCACCCTTGCTCTGAGTGTGCTTGTGCTGACCCGTCACCCCAACCCCCTTTCTGACAAGGGGGGCTGAGCACTGGCCCCAGGCTGGGTGCTCTTAGGGTGGTGCTGAGTGACCCCGAGCAGGTGCTGGAACCAGAGTGGTCCTGGTGACGTCACCCCCCAGGTCCTCACTCTGGCACATTCCCGAAGCAGCAGGCACCCAACCAAAATAGCCTCCCAAGCTCATTCGCGTGGGACATACGTGATATTTATAGATGGGGGAGGCACCCAGTTAACCCTTCTCATTCCAGGCATACAGAGTGCACAGCTGGATAAGGATCCTGCCTGGAGCAGCCCCAGCCCCTCCCTGCTCCCTGTCACCCCAAGAACAGGACAAGGTCCCCAGGTCATCCTGGGGTGCTGCAGACTCTGCCTTGTCTTCTCAGCCTCCCCCTTGGCCTGTCAGTATTTGGGGAGCAGAAAGCCCAGCCCAGCTCTCCATACCTTCCCAGAATGGAGACTACCCCAGCTCACCCCAAAACCCCCGCCACAACTTCTCATCTCATAGACAGGGACTCCGGCCAGGGCAGGGACTCCTGTGACCAAGCACAAACCCATGCCAGCTAAAGAGGACATTCTGACAGAGGGGAACTGCCCTGGGGGACCTCCTTGGGCAGCACCTCCTTCTCACCAGGTCCCCTGGTACATCTGGTGACCCCCAGCCCCAAGTTGGGCTGTTTTGGCTCACATCAGCTGGCACAGCCCCAGTGTCTCTGTCCCTGGAGGCCTTGGTGGAGGGGACTGCTGTGCCACCAGGTATTGGGTGACTCAGCAGCAGTGGCAGCACTCAACTCTGACTGGCCTCACACCTCCCGGTCCCCTAGCCTGGCTGCAACTCAGATGCTGAGTGGTGCCAGGGCTTGCCCATGGCAGCACTGGCACTGCCAAGGCTTGGGGTAGGTCACAGCAGCATCCTCAGCTGCCCTGGCTCTTGGAGGCACTCCTGTTTGCTCCCTGCCATCCCTCTGCCACCTGGGGGGTCAGCAAAGATCTGTGGCCATGAAGGTGGGCAGAGACTCAATTATGCCCCCCAAGCCCCTATCCCTGGAGTCCCTCCAAGCCACGTAATGCAGCAGCTTCCCAGAGGGTGCAGGCTGCCTGGTGGAGCCTGCCTTTAAAAGGGAAGGTATTTCCAGATGGGGTTGTTTCAACCCAGCACAGGGGGGAGGATGGAAGGAAGGGGGGCTTGTGGGGTGTGGGAAGGGAGATGGAAAAACAGACAGCATCCTTCCTCCTCCTGGCCCTGCTCCAAGCATGCCCTGAGCATCCCTAAGCTCTGCACGTGTGCCCTGCCCACCACATGGGTGCTGGCAGGGTGGCGTGCTGGCCCTTGACTGGGATGCAGAATGGCAGGTGGGTCCCCACACCACTGCAGGAGACCCTAGGGGTCTGGCCGTCCCTTCCTGTAACCCCACCCCACTGCCCCACCAGCCAGGATGTAGGAAGGATGAGGCCCCCAGAGGTGGCATGTCCAGCAGTGCTCAGCACCCTGCTCTGGTGCTTCAGGTAGGGTCTGGCAAGCCCTGGACCCCATCCCACAGAGCAGGGAGGTGCAGGGTTGGGGTGTCCCAGGGAAGGGTAATGCTCTCCTGGCTCTGCTGCTAGGACAGGAAGCAGCTAAGAGGGGTTAACCGGGAGCAGTCTCCTGACCCCCTCTAGGACAGACTGTTTGGAGTGGCCTTTCCTCAGCTTCGTGACAGCTTTCCGGGATGGCTGTGCAGGCGGGGCCCCTCGTCTGGCAGAGAGTGGACAGACGCCTTGGACTTCCCGCAGCCTCTTTGGAAAGCCCCATCTGCATGTAGGACCCAGCAGCTTGGGAAGCAGGGAGTGAGGAGCAGAACCCTGAGACCCTGCCAGAGTCCCATCCCAAGGACATGGTTCCAAGTAGTCCGTGCCAGCTGAACCCCCAGAGGTTGCAAAAAGCGAGGAGACTGCAGAGAGCAGAGGTGCAGGGGTGTCTCCAGTCCTGGCCAGCCCACAGCTCCAACCCAGGCTGGGTTGACCCAGACCAGCAGAGCCTGGGAAGCAGCCTCTGAGCCCCAGCCCTGGCCCAGCCCCAGCTCCTGCCTGGCCCTGGGACGAGGCTGCTGCCGGGAAGGCGTCAGGAGCTGGAATGTCAAACAACTCCCTCTGGTCATGACATCCCCTTGAGTGAAGCCAGCTGCATCCCGCAGCTGCCCCTCCTCCCCGGACCTCCCTCCCTGCTGCTTCCCCAGGATTTAAGCAGCCCAGGGAGCCAGGCACAACATCCCCAGGCTGCAGGCATCTTGGGGCTTGGAGTCAGGTGAGATTAGAGGACAGGGTGCCAGCCCCTTCCTCAGCTTGGTGCCCTGCTGCAGGGGCCCCTGCACCCGCCTCACGTCTGGCCCTGGCTCAGGGGTGAGTGGAGGGATGGGAATGAAGCGGTGAGGGCATCCATCCCCCTCCCTCCTGGCCCCTGGATGTCTCCCTCCATCCCGCTCCTTTTACAGCCATAAGCCTCCGAGGCGCCTTTACCCTAAGAGGGAAGGA